GCCTGCTGCAGCATCTGTTCATACTTGACAACAAACTCTATGCTGCCAGGTGCTGCAGTAGGTTGCCTTTCTGGTAACAGAAAGTCAAGCGCAGATCTGGGCTTCCAACCAAGATGTAACTGGTTGGGAGTCATACCGGTGGTGTTGTGCACATCATTGTTGTACAAGCTGGCGACGAGAGGTAACTTCTCGTCCCAGTCATCCTGGCTTGGCTTAATATAATGCCTAAGCAAGTGTTGCACTACCCGGTTCATCTGTTCTGCTTGGCCATTTGACTCAGGGTGATTCCCTGACGTCATCTGGAGCGTTGTGCCCATTTGCTCAGCAGTTGACTGCCACAGTTCACTTGTGAAACTGACATCCCTATCACTAACGATAGACGTAGGCAAACCGAAATCACGAACCCAATTGTCCATAAAAAGTTTGATGACATGGTCAGTTTTAGCTGTTTCTGGCATAGCGATTAGTCTTGCGTACTTAGTAAAACGGTCCACTATTACGAAGATGTGTCTCTTTCCAGACTTACTGGTCACAAGGGTATCCATGAAGTCCATGGACACACTTTGACCAGGACCTTCAGGAATCGGCAAGGGCTTGATGAGCCCAAGCGGAGCCTGAGTCCTYGGTTTGTCCCTTTGGCAAACCTGGCATGTTTCAACATATCGTTTTGCATCTTCCATCATAGAGGGCCACCAGAATCTTTGAACTAAGTTTGCTGTTGTCTTCTTATAGCCAAAATGACCCGTTGCATYGTGACACTCTCCTAAAAATAGACTACGCAAAGACTCACTATTAGCAACACATAGTCTTTTATTCCCGGCCTTATCGAGGAACAGCAAGTCGTCTACCATCGTAAATTCGTCTAAAGTCTTTTTTTCCTTTGCTTTGAATCTACGAATGATCTCTGACATGACTGGGTCTCCTTGATAGGCTTCCACCAACGATCGAGTGAGGTCATTAGATATGCCAAACTCAGTTACTAGCGCGCCTAGATAATCTGCCCTTCTTCATAGCGCATCAGCCACCTTGTTGTAGGTACCCTTGATAGGATCAAGTTGATAGTCATACATGTCTATCACTTGAATCCATCTCTTGGGTGCGTCTGACAACACAGGTTGTGTCTTTATCCAGCGCAAAGTCTCATGGTCAGACCTCACATAGAAGAATCTTCCTAGGAGGTAGTGTCTCCAATGGACTAGCGCTCTGTATAGGGCGTAGAACTCTCTCTCATAAGTGGACTTGGCCAACTTCTGAGATGGCATCTTCTTGCTCATGTACTCGATCGGCCTCAACTTGGGCCCTTCCTGTTGCGCAAGGACCGCGCCTATGCCGTATTGGCTAGCGTCTGTGGTCACAACGAATGGCTTGTCAAGATCAGGAAGTTTGAGAACTTCATAGTGCGTCAGATCATACTTCAATTCCTTGAAGCTTGCCTCACACTCTTCAGTCCACTCCCAAGGGGTGTCAAGTCGAGTTAGATCTGTTAATGGGGAAGCTATAGTACTATAGTTCTTCACAAACGGACGATAATAGTCCGTCATCCCCAAAAACGATCTGACCTCAGTAACCGTCTGAGGTCTGGGCCAGTCACGTATGCTGGCCACCTTCGCATCTTCCGGCCTCAATCCATCTGCTGAAATTTCATGACCCAGGTACAAGATCTTGGTGCGACCAAACTCACATTTATCCAAATTCACTTTGTATTGGTGCTGTCTAAGGAGACCTAGCACTGTTTTCAAGTGCTCAGCGTGCTCCTCTACAGTCCTACTAAAGATGAGGATATCGTCGAGGTACACGACGATAAACTTGTCCAAGTAGTCATGAAAGATCCGGTTCATCGCGTGCTGGAACGTACCAGGTGCATTGCATAGGCCAAAGGGCATTACCACAAACTCGTAGAGACCGTACCTGGTCTGAAATGCGGTTTTGTGTTGGCCCTCAGGTCTAACGACAATTTGATGGTATCCGGACTTCAAATCTATCTTTGTGAAGTACCGACATCCCTGCACTCTATCCAAGAGGTCGTCAATGCGGGGTAGGGGCTCCGCGTTCTTAACGGTGATGGCATTGAGGCCCCTATAGTCAATGCACATCCTTAATGGACCTCCCTTCTTAGGAACAAATAAGACTKGCGCACCGTAAGGGGAGGTACTAGGCCGTATCCATCCCTTCTCTGTGAGCTCCTTGAGCTGGCGGCGAAGCTCATCTAACTCTGCAGGAGACATCCTATAGATTCGGCCGTATCCATCCCTTCTCTGTGAGCTCCTTGAGCTGGCGGCGAAGCTCATCTAACTCCGCAGGAGACATCCTATAKATTCGTCCTCTAGGCACCTTACTACCTGGGACAACCTCTATTGCATGGACAACCTCCCTTTCCACCACGCCTGTGGGATCCTCAAAAAGGTCTGAATATTGAGCGACGACTTGTTCTATCTCTGGGGGTGATTTAACGGCCTCCCCTTTTTCAGAGACAAACACTAGGTGCATGCCCTCCTCACGATTCCGCTTGTAGTAGTTATAGAAAGACGAAGCGCACATGCAGCCGTAGTTCTCCACTAGACTGCTAGCTTTGTACTTCTGCAGCCTAACGGTCCTACCATTTGGCAACTTGTGTATCAACACCTTTCTATCCCAATCAAACTGTGGTTGCGAGTCTTCGAGGTAGTACATGCCTAGTAGCATGTCGAATGGCAGTTCGTCGCTAACCAAGAAGGAGATCTTGTGGATCACTTCCCCTCCTCCATAGGAGAAGGAACAGGCTACGTCCTTGGCATAGTCTTTTACTACCATTTGGTGCTTGTTGGCTAGCGTAGAAGCTACAGTCTTGCTAAGCCGTTGCACTTGGTCCCCTAAGCGCAGTCTATCCACACAAGCACGACTGATGAAATTTCGTGTAGAGCCTATGTCTGCGAAGGCGACCTTGCGGCCATCTACATCTACTTCTACCACGAAATGTTCACCCCTTGGACCTTTACTGAACATCGCCCAAGAGTCCCTGGGGTCCTTCCTTGACCACTCAGTCTCTAACTCTTCTAGGGCCTCAGACACATCTCTCGAACAGAGTGTCGGTGGGTCTGAATGTGTCTGTGGGGCGATGCGTGGGTCACTAGCCTTGGCCAATGCCTGAAGTGGGGAAGTCAACGTTACCACTTCAGCGTGAGTAAGAGCGGCTAACACTCCTACTGGCCCGAGGTGTTTCCCTGTGAGCTGCTCGCAAAAGCACTCCCAGGGTTTGAAGATAGACCCACCACCGTTGGTGAGGCTACCTTCGTGGTGACCTTCTTACCGCGGTAAGTCCTGGACGTGTGGCCATAGTTGCCACAGTTCATGCATGTACCCCTAGCAACGAGGTCACGCCACACCTCGTAGTCTAAACCAATCTTCACCCATGCGGGTGTCCCTTGGTCGCCCTGACCCGTGGACCGTACTACCTTCTTCTTCCCGGTCCCCCTAGCCCTTTCCTTAATGGGGGCCACGACTCCACCATCTGAAGTCTCACCACCCCCATCATGCTCTATGAACTCCCCAAGATCCGAGTAGTCGTCAATCTCCGTCGTTTGACCATCGTGGTCAGCGAACATTAACTGACCCTTTTTCTTCCAATCCTGGGGCAGTCTCTTCCTACCATCGTTGGGTGCCTGATGCACAGATCCTAACTTTGCCTCGATGTCCAGAGCTTTTTTACTAAAAGAAGCGAAGGTGTGCTGTTCAACATAGGCTTCGTCAACCAGCTTGGTCCTTACCTCTGAAGGTAGGCACCTTAGGTAATCCGTTAGGAGAACCTGCTGGTCAAAACGCACACCAGGTACCACGATTAGTCGTTCTACGACGTCCGTTAGCTCTCTAACATTCTTGAACCTTCGGGAACAAAGACTGTTGATAGCATCAGTGACCTTTTGAGCCCCTTATGGGTCATGCCACCTGTTATACACGGACCGTATGAACTCTTCCAATGTCTGGGATTGTGCCCAGGCATCGAAGTTTTGACCGTAGCCCTGTTGTTGCACTAAGCCATTTAACCAGCGGGCTGCTGATCCTTCTAAAAAGGAGGCAGCCACTACAACTTCTTGTTCTGGTCTTGTGAGCTTATGCCTCACATAAGTAGGCACAGTTCTCACCCAGGTGTCCAAGTCTTCCTCCTTCTTCTTATCGTCGGAGAAAGGCTTGGGACTCATCAAAGCTATCTTGGGCATCCACTGCATAGGCTGCATGGGCCCAGGTGCTTGCTGCAGCGGCTGCATAGCCACTGAAACAGGCTGTTGCATACTAACCTGAGCCTGGCTGGACAGTGGGACTGTAGTGACCACTGTTGTAGATGGTACAGCTGAGACTGAATGAACCGGACCACTAGTTGCTACTAAACCACCCGGGGAGGGTACGCCACACATGGGAGAGAAAGTTTGCCCTGTGTGTTGCGGCATCGATGATGGACCCGCAGCTGCAGGGGGAACTACAACAAACTGTGGCGGCCTCACCATTGTGCGAGGACCCCGTAGTTCAGCCAGAATTTTTTTCTGGCCTGCTACTAAATCAGCCAACAATTCCTGCTGAACGCTTTGCGCTTCCGCCACTGAAAGTAAGGCGCCTCGCAGCACACAGACAGCAGGGTCTAATGTTGACTCATCTAGTCTTTCCAGTCTGCCTAGCTCCTGAGCTCTACTCTCTAGTCTAGCCTTTCTTTGCATAGCTTTCCTTCTCCTCTCTACTACATCGTCCATCTACCGCTGTAACTCATCCTGAAGTTCTTCTGCCTGCCGGATTTCTAAGTCCTCCGGTGTGAGTGGAGACTGGCTGACTCGCACATGACCAATCTGACTAGTGACTCCCTGAGTGCCACTCTGACTGACTCCTGATGAAGTGGGCTGTGTAAAGGATTGCGTCATAGATGAGGTAGCCATGGTTGCACTGATGCTAGCTGAAGTTCTAGCCCTAGCACTATCCTCAACTGCCCTCGCTCTCCTTGCCGCTGTCCTCTCTCTAGCCTCTCTCCTCAATCTTCTCTCGTCTCCTGGACCTAACTCTAGGAATGTCAAGGGTCGACTGCGGGCAGTCCCGCGAGTAGTCCTACGGTCGTCCACTAGTAACTCCTCCTCACTTGTGCTTGCATCATTCATGAGCTACAGTGTGTGTGATCTAAACTAGAATCCACACTGAATCCTACCTTAGCTTGACACACATCTGTATATGATACACAACTAACCACGGTCGGCATGAACAAAAATAGTTAAGTGATGTAGCAAAAACTATTGTCAGGTCCTACAGGATATATCAAATCTATTTTTAGATTACCCTAGAACAGATTGCAATACAGCAAAGATCTAGTCTATCTGTAGTTGTCTGTCAGTTGTCAGCAAGTCCGTAACAACTAGATAATAAAAAACAAAAATAACATCTCCTGTTGGAGATGTACACTGGATGGCAGATAGTCTGTTGAGTGCCACTGTGAACAGTTACCGGAATCCCCCCCCCCCCTGTATCCTTCTTGATTAGTCACTTTGTGTCAATGTCCCTGAGCATCTGGTTGAGCAGCGTGTCTAAAGGTGTGCAATCCGGTCCCACCCCTGTGCCTCAAGTCATCGTCGAGCAAGGCAGCCTCAGCACTCTTATTTACCCTCGTACGCCGACAAGTCTTACACCCGGTTGATCTGGCTGATCAGGAGGATTATTAAGAGCGCCCCCATCTCTTCAGGAATTATTTAACGTCGCAGTCAGGACGACGGTCACAGCCAGATTCAATCCGAGTCCCCAACCAGAAATGTTTATAGACGGTCTGGTGAGCGTCTCATAGAGGCTGCCATGCCCGAGTTGACCCCTATTTGCGCAAGCAGCAGTTCCAAGGACTTGTGCCCAAGCATGCGTGTACTAGTCCCAGCGGGTTGGCATGGTGACCGTGACCCGAGTGCTTCGTCCAGGGCCCTTCAGAGGCTTCGCTCGTCTCCCACCAGCATGCTGCCCTGGAAGTATGTCGACTCTCAAGGTTGAGCGCTCGCGACACCTAACATCAAGAGGACTCTCAAGACAGAACTCACTTCCTCACGGTAAGAAGAGATGAAGAGGGTAGATAAGGAAGAGAGCAACGTACCTCTTAAATGCTGCCCCCAACCACAAATTTCTCACCGGTAACCTGATGTGCAATTATGATGACCGGTCTTTGCTTCGGCACAACCAACAGCAGTATGCGGTTCCACCTTACCTTAATATGTCACATCAGCGAGTTCTCATCATCCAGCATACATCCCGTATGTCACCACATAGCTTCCCGGCGCGCCCACACAACCCTGGGCCGCCTAATGTCCAACGCCAATGCCGTATCACTGCCCCACACCTCATGCGAAGCACCAATAGCTATTGCGAAAAACCAATGAAGCGCAATATGAACCAGCTCTGATACCGAATTGCAAGGAAAATAAGCAACAGCGAGATGACAATCCAGACCACACCATCACATTGAGAGCCAAATAGTCACACCGTGTCCATAGAGCAGCATGGCACCAATATTACACCAATGGAGGTTCATAGCACTGAAAAACCAATGTACATGGAGAGCATACTCTCTCCCTTCAACACAAGAGTCCAGTTCCTCAACCCTCACACTTGGCGCTCAGCGCCCAGCCTACTCCTACACAGCTACTACAGACTACAAAAAGACAATGCAACTGTTGACATCAGCAGCAGTCCGAAGTACTTGAAGATGCCGCCCATGCAGACCATCACCAATACAAGGTACGTGCCCTCACATCATCATCATCATCATCATTCTTCACCTATCCCCTGACTTCACCCACACCTGTCCTCTCTGTCACCCGAAGACCACCCCTGCGCCTCACCTTAGTCCAAGCCCACCAGCTATGGTGGCTGGGCTATGGCGCTGCCCTCAGCAGCGCCCTCCTCCTCTGCACGACCGCACGTGCTGCACCTCGCCTCCCAGCGCTAGCAGCAGCCTACGAGCATAAGCTCCAGCAGCGCTGCCGCCCAGCATGCGAGTGCCTAAATGAGGCAGCCAGGGCCGAGCTCTTTCCTTTATGGAAAGAGTTGGCCTGCTCACGMAGCCTGGCTCCTTGRCCTGGGCCCAGAAGCTTCCGGAAGGCCCCAGGAGGCTGCCTGGATGCAGCAGCTACTGGGCTGCTGGGCCTCGTTCGGTTGGGCGCCCAACTGTCTCTGTATGAGGCTGCGAATCACAGCCAGGGCCTGCATTCTTTGGAAAGGCCCGGTAGGCCGTGGAAATGTCCTTGTTGCTCGGCCTGTGTTTCTTTCAACCAACTGGCACGTAGCAACTGCCTGAACCCCAAATACGAAATTGACAGTCGAAGGCCTTTTGCAAAAAGCCAGGCCCGCCTTCACTTAGGGCGGTCACCTCTGCCTTCACTTAGGGCGGGTAAGGCTGCAGACAGGGCCCCATAGGCCTACCGAGGACCCTGATCCTTGCACTGAGCAATTGTCTGAGGTATCTGCATATCAGTCTCTATACCTTTTTCCCCCCTTGGCACAGTGCCCTGTCTTCTAAAGAGACTATTAGGCTTCACTCACTTCACTGGTTTCAGAACCCCCATTAAATTTTGTTTGGCGTCTTTGTCCCATGTTCCCTTTTGCTTGAGACTCAGTCAGTTTGGAGAGGCGGTTAATGGAAGGCCCAAAATTCGGCGAATTTTGGCGAATTTTTCACCGAATAGGGATTTATAGTGCTCTTGAGTTTGATTTTTTCGGTTTTTTTTTGCCTGATTGTTTTTTTCATGTTTGTATTATGACCCTGCATAGTTTGTTCGCAAAAGTTTCGACAACATTGCTCGTAGCGACGTGGCGAAAACCCCCAAATTTTTGGCCTTCCATTAACCGCCAGTGTGTTGTTTGACTGGCATTCCCTTCTGCTTCAGTCAGTTTGACCAAAAAAATTTTCCCTTTTGTTGGACCAGCGTTCCCTTGCATTCAATATGCGCTCCGCCCCCTTCCCTTCCTTCGTTGATCCCGGGCTGCACCGTATAAACAGGTCATGAGTTTTAAATTTGAATCCTCCTGGTGGATACAATTGTGCTACGCAAGGAGAGAACTTCCTTTTCCGTTTTTCCATACCAAACATGTTCTTTTGCATGCGCTTTTACTTCCTTTCTTTTTTTTTCTTCATTTCGACTATTTCTCGATTTATTTTTGTCATCCTTGCACAGGCGCCATGCTAATCTTCGTTCTCTGTAGCGTTCCAATCCTTTTACTGGATGTCCCGAAGAAGGACAGCATGTGCGTTTACCATACTTGCAAGCGGACGCCGTCCGGGCGGTTCAGCACGTGCGGCAGACCGCCGGACTGGACCCGCGCGGCGCAGGAATGTGCGCCCGACGACCAGTTACGCCCCACTCCCCCCCCCCAAAAAAAAAAAAAACGGCCCTGTCCGGTCCGGTCCGGGTCCGTCCGGTCCGGGGGGAGGGTGCCGCACGCGGCAAAGCGGACCGGACCGGACACTCGTCCGGTCCGTCTGCTTGCAAGTATGGCGTTTACTAACATCATGGAATTACCAAGCTCTGAAGTGTGAACTATCATACAATGATGATGCCGACTACATCATTAACTGTGTAGTTCGCATCAAGCTTTCCATTTCTGCAGGTTTCTTTCTTTCTAGGCTACCAGCCGGGCCGCCCGGATCACCGTGTTTGGCCGGGCGGACTGGCCGTGCAAGGGCCAAAGAAGGTCACAGAAAAAAAAAAAAAAAAAAAAAAAAGATTAAAATTTAAAAGCATGCTTACCGCGGACCCGGACACCGGACGC